TACCAAAGCGAAAAGCGAAGAGCAACGCCAAGAATACCTAAAGCAGAGGGCAATGAAGACGAGAAGATAAGCGCTGCCACCCACCCACCCAATGACGCAGATGTGCATGCACTAACAAACCAAAAGCATACACGCACAACACAACTACAGATCAATGCAGCCAAGACATATGCACTGCAAGCCTCCGGGCTCGTGAATTAGCAGTTCCTTGGCCTCGAGCGAAAAGTTTCAAAACCCCAATCCGTAACTCGCAGACTTCCCGTCCCAATCTCCAGCAAAGGAGTATCCCGGCGCATCTGCCGTCACATGTCCTGCAAAGCTTCGGTCAAGCATGTCTAGAGTCTAGAAAATGTAAGTTTCAACACACAACATATGATGGTTGACTGAGTGTTCAGCATGTATTGCCCCCAGGTTTTAAAGATGGGCATCGGGACTGCTATGTCCCGAATGGATGTCTGTGGGTCATTATGTGCTAGTGCACCTCACGCCGTCACACTGCCGCTTGTATACAAGTCTCTAGAATACTCTTGCTCTGTCTCAGATATAGCCCTCTCCCTTCGTCTCCAGCAACCCTCATTATGGGAACAAGAGCTTAGCCTATCCAGCAATGCATGTCACAGGCTGCATGTACCATGTGACCCTGCCAAGCACTAGGGCATGTTTTCAGGCGCGTCTTTCGTTCGCCACGCAGCATGTGTTTGCGAGCCTGGTAGGTGTTCTTACATCCTCAGGCCAGTGAAAAGTGAAAAGGCAGATGTGCCGAGAATGCCCCGAAGAAAAGCGAGTCGTGAATTTAGCCACAGGAGAAGACTTGCCTGGGCAACCCCACGAAAGGAGCCATCCTGGGTACATCGGCAGAAAGAAAGTAGATGTATAGGTCCCGGTTGGTGGCATATGCGACGCTGACGTGCACAAAATGTAGCTGAGGAGGCTCAAAGTCACAGAAAGCAAGCAACCGGGACGGGGAAGCCGAAGACCTACAAGTTCACCTAGTGTAGGCCTTTCAAGGACTGCATGCAGCAATGTGAGGCTCCGTCGCCTCAACTTCTGAAGTTTCGGAAACCGCTCCGCTAGCATGTGCACATAAGCCCTCTTGGAGTCTTCAAGAGAAGTCAACATACTGATCTGCTGCCTGCTGGCCCTTCAAAGAGCAGAAGCACGTCCAGCTTCAGGTGTCTCAGCTCTGTTGGGCAACGAAAACATCGGCTGCCACAACATTTGGTTGACAACTTCGGGCGGAAATACCATGCAACATGGCTAGGACTGCAACTGAATGTCTAGTGCAAGTGTTCTTCTGCGACCGACTGACGTACATTTACACACGAGTTGCTGAGGTTACTCTGTTCTGACCATCCGACATGCTTCTTCTTCGCTGATGCCTAAACAGGAGTGTGATTGTAGGAAGCTCCAAGTCTGCGTTCGGAACCGTCCGGTAGCTGATTCAACCAAGAGCCAAACCTGTCTAGCAAGTCCAAGTCGAATTCAAGCTGCTGCTTTGGCTGGGCTCCCTAGCCTCCTCCTGCACCCGCACGGCGCGGGCACAGCTGGAAGGCTAGGGGTATGTCATTAGTGAGGTATCTCATGACCAGCTTTGTCTGGTTCAGAGTGAAGGCTTCTGCTTGGTGCAAAAGCCCTAGGGGACTTGAAAAAGCTCGGGGAGGACCCCAAAGCGGGAGGAAGTGCATCGCACAGCAACATGCTCACAGTACCCTGTGAATTCTCTAGTCCCACATCTAGTGCGAGATCCATGTGACAGGTCCTCCGCAGCAAGATAGCTCAACATGACGGCTCCGTGCCATTGCCGGCAAGATTCAGTCATCTCTTATCGCGTGAGACATGTCCCTTGTATGACAATTCACACGTTGAGGAACTAAAGATAGCGGTGTGCCATATACATTAGTCACAACCATTCTAGAATAACCGGCACCCGGAGAATCCCAACTGTTCCGAATTGATTTGCCCGAGCCCCCTACACCATTGATGACGTATGTTGGCACTAACCCGACTAAAGTTCTAGATCGGCGAGGCCCGGAGATTGCCAAAGAAGGCCGCAACGATATCGGAGGCTTGAAATCCCTAACCAGCAAGAGAAATCCAGTTTACAAGGTTGGGTTGAGGCTTTTCCGGCTTTGGGCTTGAAGCCTTGAGAGCTGCAAGACTACTCCAGGGCTGGGGCTGAGGTGTGTTTGACAAGCTCCTAAGAAAATATAGACAGGTTTGATAGGGGGTTTGGGGTTTAAGGGTTTCGGGGTTTAGGGTGGTGAACATATGGAAGGCCGGAGCCAGCAACTGCACACGTTCAAGTACGCATCCAACTACGAGAAAACACGGATAATCGATAGTCCTGTGAATTGTATGTAGGCATGTATGTGTGTGTAAATATACATTTAAATATATATATATATATAGATAGATAGATAGATATATGTACACACACATATATTGTGTCTGGGGTCTCCCCAGAGTCGCGGCGTGGAGTTTTGAGGCGAAAAA